ATTCGATCAATCCTTCGCAGAAGTAAAATTTTAAATATTCTTGTAAAACTTCATTCTCATATGAAAATTTCAGCGATTATGTTCTTTCAAGTTATTTACGATAACTAACAAGGTCAAGGTTTAAGAACTTCTGAATTGATTAGAAATTTTAGTGTTGTACAGAAGCTGATAAGTTTTTGAGGATGATGAAATGTAAGCGTTTATTAGCTGTTTTATAACAATGAAATTCGAAGTAGATGAGAAAGACTTAAATCTCGACTTTTTCAACTGTCACATTTTTCTGCAATATTTTAATCACTGATAAGCACTTATTTCGATTGAAGAGTGAATATTTAGCTATTTTAATTGAACTTACATCGCTCAAGCTTCGCATGTATCACAACTAGATATGTTGTGTGGGACTACATTTTCTTTTTGGTACCAATTTCGAGAAAATGAATCGAGAATTTATTTGTATTATATCTGAAAGAATTCTTCAATGCACATTTTTGTGTACTCAAAAAGTGAGTACACTCTAGAATCGGTCAGTATGTCCGTCCGGCCGTTTACACGATAACTTTCGAAAGGAGAGTCAGATCATGATGAAATTTTCTACACAGTTCAGTCTTAACAATGTCTCGGTCGAGTTCGAAGATGAGAAGGATCCGTCACGAAATGGTTGAGTTATCGAAAAAATTGTCATTATTGACCAGACCATCCCTGAGGNAGCATACAGTATGGTCCATGGTAACTTAGCACGTCTGTATTTTCTCCTTGCAATTTAGTGATAAAAAACACAGTGAATATATCTTTTCACTTTTTGAAGTACACATAACACTCGGATTTAAATCCGAGGTTTTCGCATTTATTTATTTCTATAGCCGACGATTAGTAATCTCTCTTGAAATATATTCTGATTGATGATTTATAACTGTCATTTTTAGTTCCAATTGGAATAACTTTATTTTCGTAGTCCTAATTTCGATGTCATCAACTTTCCTTACCCATGGTTCAGTCAAGTTTTAGTCTCGGTTGCAGCATCTTCTCTTTTCTGTAGTGCCAAAAAGTTTCTAACTTTTGGTTGCAGCCTCGATAATGTTTTATTGTCGTGATCTCACACATCTGTAGTTGTAGCAGCGGTACGCGAACTCTTCTTTTCTATTATTGTCATACGACAATATCAATATTTTGGTTATTCAATAAGATAATTGATTAAAAGGAATAATTAAATATTCGATATCACATTCGGATGGATATCAACATGTTTGAGAAATTTTCTTGTAGAATCAATGTGATTGTATTACTATCATTGTTTTATCATCGCTTAATATTTAATTCAATAAATGAAGGTTTATCATCTAAGTAGTAATCATTCTCTTATGTTTAAAACATTCGATTTCAATGTATATCATATTGAATTTGATAAATTACTAAAATATAAATTTCTTGTTTCTTACCAATAGCAGATGCACAACTCAAACCAGCTAATTCCATAAGTTGATCAACACTAAATTTATATTCATTAAAAAGTTCTTCATCAATATCTTTTGCTTGTTGTTGTGTTAAATAAGATATTTTTGGTGTTGCCATTGTTCTAATATGTCGAAATGAAAATAATCTATTGATTAATCGCATTTAAACATCTATAAAAGAATAAAATGATAATATTATATATTTTGTTTTTTATTTTTATAAAACATCTACTGTTCACTCAAACACACACAACACACAACTAAAACAGTTTAGGTAAATTAAAAAACATATATAATTGAAACGGAGAAAAACAAAAAAGAATTTTTTTTTTTATTTTTTATTTTTATACAATTATGATTTTTCATCATAGTCATTGAGAAAATCAAAACCAGTAAATTCCGGTTCTCCACTTGTATTTTTTATATTCGTATCTGTACTATTTGATTGAAAGAAATGTGCATCCATAATTTTTGTTCGTTGTTTATTTGAACGTCCTTTGATTTTTATTTCATCACCTTTGATTCTAATACGTTGTTTACCATCAATTTGATCACCAACATTAGCATATAATTCATTTATAAGACTTGTTTCATCATCAGCTGTTGACGATGATGAATCATTAAGTATATCATAATTTGAAACACTTGGATTTGTTTGTTTTGATGATTGAGAATTATATGATATTTCATTTTCATTACTTGTTGAGATAAGATTTTGTTCGCTTTCATCATCATTATCATCATCATCATCTTCATCTTCATCTTCATCTTCCTCTTCATCCTCATCATTATTTATAATTAATAAACGATCTTTTATTTGGATTTGGTTTTTTTGTTTAATTTTTCGAACATCATCGTCATCATCTTCATCATCATTTTCATTTAAACCTGGAGTTTTTATTTTAACTAATAAATCTTTACGATCAATTAATGTACGTCGTTTATATTCCCTAAATTATAATACAAAATAAAAGATATTAAAAACAACAAAATTCTTTTTACATACATTGATTCATCCAATTGCTCGAGTATAGGAGCTAAACGTTTCAATAATTTTGGTATTAATTTATGATAAACAATAGCTGGTAATGTAAAAAGTATTAACATAACTAAATATGATACATAATAACCATTTATTTTCATTCCAATATAAGCAAGTATAAGACAAATAATAATAATAATAATTGAATATTTTGCACGATTCTCTGTTTTAATTATATTTAATTTTTCATGTGTATGACATATATATTGATATGAACGTAAAACAAGTTGTGTTAATTCTGATAAATTTTTTTCATCATCATTCAAACGTTTTTTTCTCATACAATCAAGTATATGTAATAGAAATAAAACTAATGTTATAGCACAAAAAGGTCTTAAACCAGCACGTGCTATACCATAAAAAATACCATGACCAAAAATAAATGCAAATAAACTTGCATATCGATTATGCCATAATAGAAATCTTTCAACACGATGAAATACTGGTTCAAGTGTTACAATAATATCTTCCATATCTGAAATTAAAAATTTATATTATTTCTACGCACAAACTGAAATTAATCTATTTATATATATATATATACAGTAACCATAAGAATTATCAAGAGCAGTAGATAATATTATGCATATCTCAAAAAATTAGATGAACTACTAGAATGATTTAATTTTCGTTAGATTACAATTCATAGTCTCGAGGATTTTAGTAAAATAATATATGAGCAATCGATTGATATGTTTAAGTTTTTCTTTTGTAAACTGTTGCGAGTATACTCTAAGTTGAAATTCTCTTTATAATACATGATTTAATAGAAAAAATTATGCTCTAGGTAAAACGTACTATTTATCGTAGGTTTTCTTTGAATAAGAACAATACTTTTTTGTTTTTGAAAGTTTACAACAGAAAACATTCTTTTTCATAGAATATTTAGCCAATTTGATTGTTCAATACATCATTACGAAGAACATTAGAAATTAAATGAAAATAAATATATCATATTGGAATATTGTGTTAGCCGTATCCTATGTATAAATTAATCATAAATAAAATTTCTTATACAGTGTCTCATTCACGCATCGAAGGGAGTATAAACAAGTTATATAATTTTTTTTACAATATAAAGTGCAAAGCTTACTATAGCTCAAGCAATACCCTAAGTGAAAATCTCATTAACTATATAACTAATTTTTGCGCGTCATGTCTATGTAAATAGAGAATAAAATTTAATCACTTTGTTAACTTTCATTAGATACATCTAGAACTTAAATGATTTAATCCGAACTTTCATATATTTTCGAAGAAAAATACTGAGGCTAAGTTTTAAGTCGTGAGGTATTGAATTTCTTTGCAGCAGCTATCTGTAAATGTTGTAATTCACTAGAAATATTATTATAGTTATTTATTAGTTTATCCATTTCGACTGTTATCCTATATTTTTTTTTCCTCCTCCATCATATTATAAAAATAATAGTGTTGCTATTTGATGAACATGGTTTTTTTTTTTATTATAAACTAATCAACGTTCTATTTAGTTTTTTTTACATGAAAAAACCTATGATAGTTTTAATTATATTGACAATGATTTTGATATTTTGTCAATAATGTTAATCACTATTAATAAGTAAATAAATCTTTTATTATGAAATGAGATTGTGCAAGAACGTCTAACAAAATTTTTCAACATAAAATATTTATTCAAATAGAATATTTCATTCAATATATAATACTCTTCGTAATGATGTAGTGAACAATCATATTGACTGAATATCATATGAAAAAAAAGTGTCCTTTGTCGACAATTCTCGATATGGATCAAATAAAACTCAAGTGAAATCTACAATAAAAAGTACTTGTTATATAACACCTAATGTCTTCTATTGGATCATTTATTATAAAGTAAATTGCAGCTTAGAACAGACCCGCAACAGTCTACAAAAAAAAGTGTATCATCGATAAAAACTAAACAGATCAATTGATCGACCCGAATTTCATAAAATATAATCTAAAAGAATTATTGAAATATATAGAATAGCAATTTGCACTCACTCTTCCGTGTTTCATGAGACCATGACAAACATTTCATTTAACTATCTAATTAATAATCCTTTAATAAATAATTTATAACGAGAAAAGTGAACTATTCTCCTTCTGTCCGCACACCGTGACAGTCAGTGGTGCGGTTTCACCACCGACTGAGCAAAACATTGTTGATATACGATCAAAGGTCATACATCAATAACATTTTTTTATAATACAAAAGCTATTTTCTGATTCCAGTTGTGAAAGAATAAGCAAAATAATAATTTAGAAATACGCTACAAAATTGATAGAATAAAATAATCTTCCTATAATTACTAACAGCAGCTGCATCTTGTTTCACATATTTTATTCCCGAAAGAATTACACTTACAGCTGTTTTCTTCCTAGAGACTATGGATAGTAATCTGACGAAAACCAGATCATTCTAGCTTATCTAGGATGTGTTGAAACATACACAAAATAATCTATTGATTAGATAATTTTGATAGTTGCTATATATAATAATTTAATTATTGGCTAATAAAAACAATATCATCTTGTTTATTTTGTAGATTTGTTATTGGTTTAGAATTAATATCTATGACCATATCAAGTTGATAACGTTCATGACATTCAAAAAAAAATGTTTCAACATCATGAACATTTTTTGTTGAACCAATTATACGTGATACAGTATGAAAATCTTTTCCATATTTTGCAAATGCTTGTATAGCAAGAAGAATTTCTTCTGTTGACCATGTTGATGTTGTTGTTTCATTTATATTCATATTACTTATTAGAAATGGTATATGTATTGTTTCAAGTTCAACTCTTGATTGTTTTGTTAAATATTCAATAGATTGATTATGTAATTGTATTATTGATAATTCATTATGAATATCTTCTTCTAATTTTTCAATAGAATTCGATGTTAAATTTATCAAATCAAGTGACATATTTTTTGGTGGTTGTTTAACGTTTTTAATTGATGATTTACTACAATATGATTCAGGTCGCATTAAACCAGAATTTTGCCAATAAATATAACATTTATCACAAAGAATACCTTTGGGTGTTGAATGCATTAATTTAGATTTTATTTCACAATTAAAACATTCTTGTTCTTCGGTACTATTTTGATCGAATATTATTTTTGAATGATTATCCAAATTTCTGATTGAAATAAAAAAAAAAAAACAAAAAAAAACAAGGAAAATTATAACATTTGAATACTTAAAAAGCAATCAAATGATTATGTTCTTCCAAATTTTTATTTTTTGAAATTAAAAAACTTAGTTTAATATAATTTTGTGATTTTTTTATCATTCAAATTAATAAATTATGGTGACTCACTTGATGTCTCATTTAGATATAGAAGTCAAAAGTAACCTTGACTCTACTTTTTTCATTTTATATTCAAGATCGTAGATTAAAAAAAATAAAGGATATTTCTGTTTGTGAAAATTGTATAGAAATTCGGTGATTGCTTCTATCCAGAACGAGAATAATCCGACTATCATATTCGATTAACGGATTTCAGCCTCGAAGTTCCTACTGTTTCCCGATCGGAAACCATATCTTTCCGGTAGTAACCTGTCAGAAATTCATAGATCCGGACACTCAAATCATTGACTTGGAATAGGTTTTTTTTCTAATTGAACTCACTTTGTTAATAAGCATACTGATGTTATATTTTTTTCATTATCATTATCTTCATCATAGGGTATGAATTGATATTGTTTTTCATGTTTATCCATAAGACTTTGATATAAACGTGTTTTTTTCCATGAATAATAATATCGAACAAGTTCCGCAATACTTTTCTCTGGTAACATTTGTTTAATACGTGAAAATATTTTTCCATAAAATTGATAGGCTTGTTCAAATAGAAATTTTTCTTCTATTGTCCATTGATCATTTTCAGGTATATATTGTTCCATAAGTAATTTACTTGTTGAAATTTTATATTTACATATTTGTAATATAGCTAATGCTTGTTCTTCATTCATACGATGTTTTTTATAAGCATAATCAATATAATCCATAAGATCATGATCATTTATTAAATCAGTTGGTTTCCAAAAAAGAATAGCATCATGATCTGTTGTTAATGATATTGAATTAAGTAAAGGTATATTAGCTTGATATGATGAACCTTCATGAATGCAAACATCATTATCTAATAATGAATTGATTTCATTTGGTTTTTTCAATGATGTTAATGTTAATTTCATTATTTTCTAGAACAAATGATGAGTTGAATAGTTGCAAGTAAGATATCACAAAGAACGAGAAAAAGAAAAGAAATTTTGTTTGTTTGTTTGTTTTTTTTTATATGAACAAAAAGAAAAAAAAGAGAAGAAGCAGAAGCAAAGAAAAAAAGAAGAATTGTTCGTATTTAAGAATCATTTTTTTTTCTATTTATTAATAAATCACTGAGATGGATAAACTGCTCCTTCAGATGGTTGAGATAATTTTGCATTCTCTTTTGATGACATATTCGCACGAATTTCATTTAATACTTGATGAATAGTCATATCTCGATTCCAATTACGAAGAGCTGGAATTAATTTTGTATCAACCTTGAATCGAAATAAATTTTAAAGTAATTAACAAATTTTAAATATAGAAAAAAAAAAGGCTTCTTACAGAACCATTAGCTGTTACACCAGTTAAATTTATACGTGTTTGAAAACGAACAGTTGGTGGTTCTTCGGGATAACGATCACCACAATGAACTTTTAATGTATAAATACGATTTTCATAAGGTGTCTGAAAAAAAAACAAATTTAATAATTGATTTTTTTTTTTCGTAATGAACGAGTTTCAATTGAATTAATAAGTCTTACTCTTGATGGTCCGATAATCATACAAACCCACCGGGATAATGACATGTCATCATTAGCTTCGAGACCCCATGATACTGATCTTAAGTAAAAAAGGTTTTGTTTTGTTTTGTTTTTTGAAAGTTATATATATTCTGGGAAAATTACCCTTCATGATGACCTTTCTGAGCTGCTTCAAGTTCTTCTAATAATTTAAAATTTCGTGGAACAACTAAATAAATAATAAACAAATTAATAATTATTTGATTTATGGGTGTATAAGAAAACCTGTTCGTGATGAAAAATTGCTAGCCATTATTTGGCAATATTAAAAATCTTTAAAAAAATATATATTTAATATTGCATAAATTAATCAAAACTAAGAAAGAAAATTATAAATAAACAATAATGAGTAGTAGATAAGTATGTATGTATGTATTCGTTTCTCCTTTTTTTCTGCTGTTGTGACTGTATCCAATAGGATTTCAATGACAGTATGTAGAGAGTCGAGAAGTACTTACTATGGCGACTAGGCAACTAAGTTGCGTGAATTTACCGAAACTATCAGACTAATACTTTTGTTAATACGCAAATTTTTTCTTTTGACAATCAGTATTTTATAATGTTAAGCTTTCGCTTTGCATTGTTTGAAGATTTTCCTTGATCATGAGGTTCATCTGGAAAAAGTCAATTTCGATTAATGAAACATAATATAAAAAGACCTGTTAAAAACTGCACGTACGTTTCCTTCGCGCTTCGATACCCTATGTGAAT